ACCAGCACCAGCAGTTGCAGTACCGGAAGAAAAGAAAGAAGAAGTAACACCTAAAGTCGAAGAACCAACACCAGCACCAGCAGCAGCTGAACCCGAAGAAAAGAAAGAAGAACCAGAGAAAAAGAAAGTAGAAGAAGAAGTACCACAAGAAAAAACACCAGAACCAGTAGCAAAATTTGTTACATTTATCAAATCACAAAATTTAATGGAAAGTGATTCACTTACACTTGAATGTACTTGTGAAAGTTAGTATTAAATCTTATATATATATGTAGATAATTAATCCTCTGTTTAATTTAGATACTGACGATGATACCGAATTAACATGGTTACGAAATAATAAAGAAATTCCTGATAATCCAGATTTTCGTCGAGAACGATCGGGAAATTTATTTAAATTAGTTGTTGCTGAAGTGTAAATATAAATTAAATTCATATTATTAATATCTAAATATATATATAAATCTTTAATTAATATAGATTTCCTGAAGACTCAGGTGTATTTTCAGCTTTAATGAAAACTAAAGCAACAAATACTGAATTACTCTCTTCTTGTTCAATTATCGTACAAGGTAAAACATTTTTTATTAAATATAAATCAAATCAATAAATTTTGAATTTCGTTTTAGCTAAAGATGACGAACCACTTGATCCTAGTTTTGTTGAATTTCCACAAAGTTTATGTTTAGAAGAAGGCAATAGAGCAAAATTTAATTGTAAACTATCTGGAGCAACACCAATGACTGGTAAATATTTTTGAAAACAAAAAAAAAATCAAAAATTTTAATTTTTTTTGTATTAATAGCTGATTGGAGTGTAAATGGTAAATCAGTTGATCGTGAATCAAGTCGATTTGTACTGACAAATAATGAAAATGATTTTTCACTTGAAATTCCTGTTGTTTTAGCAACAGATCAAGGTCAATATCAAATAATGATTTCAAATGATAAAGGAGACATAACAGCTGCCTTTACTTTACATGTTAATCAATCATGAATATTATAAATAAGAAAGGAATTATCAAATAAACTCAATTGTTTGTTTTTATTATTAAATTTTTCTTCTATTTGTATTTGTCTTATTTTTCTTGAATACCTATATGCCGCTCAACCTATGTTTTTAACTTTTTTTCTTTTTTTGTCCATGTTTTTTTTTCTTCTTCCCATTTAGAAAATTTTATACCTGACCTTTTTTTCTTTATACTCTCTATTCACAAAACAACCGTGTTCTTTGATGTGTATGCGTGTGTAAATTGTTAAAGCCTTATAAGCAAATATAACGATAATTAGTCTAGTCTAACAAATAAAGTATTAGACTAACCTTGAGTTTATTTGATAAATATAATCTTGTCTTTTTTTCTACTTTATTTATTACTTTTTTTTTCGTCTTCTTTTCTTCATCATAATAAAAACAAAAATGGACAAAAATAATGGAACAAATGATTTTTAACCAATTATAGATACATACATACATATGATTAGAGAAGTTTTCTAGTAAGTTGCCAGTATCGATGAAATTTATCAAATACATCACTTGTATCACCATGATGTAAACCAGCAGCACATGCAAAAGAATTTGAATTAGCAAAAAAACCTTCACAATCATTTACATAACGAATCTGATAATCAGACATTGATGTTCGTGGAAGTGATAAATAATCTGGTAGAATTCCTCTAATAAAAGATTAATTTTTTTTTGGAAATTAAAAAAATAATTATTAGTAAAACATACGTTACATAAACATCGGATATTCGAAATGGTTTTTCGTAATCATAATAAGATGCATAGACTAAGGCATCTCGTGCTTTTTTTGGTATTAAATAACCAAAACCGGATAGAAAATCTGGATATTTTGAACAAGGATATTCATCTGATGTAACAACATATCGAGCGGTAACTGGATCACTAGCTTGACGAAAAACTCCGGGATTAATATGTTTATAACCATATATAGTCATATCGGATATATGAAATGAATTATTTGATGAATTTGTGATTAATGGTGAAACAAATTTTAAAAGTAATATTAAATTAATAAATATATCATCATCAGTTTTAAATACAAATTTTGCTCGACGACAATAACGCAATGACCATTCGAGTATTGATAAAACACGATATGTTACTAATGTATATTGTTGTGGTAATTCAACTTGAATTATATCATGAAAAAGATTATTTTCAAGACGAACATTATTGCTGAATTTTTCATCGAAATCAATTAGAAAGAAAATTTTTATTGATATAGACGAATAAATACCCAGATTTTTTCGTGATCCCCATGTACGACGAATAGCATCACGAGTTTTATAATTCTCGGATTTCGATATAATCATTATTAATAAGTCTATCGATTCAGTTAAACATATATCAGAATTAGAGATTAAAAAAGAATATAAAGTTCGATGTGAATGATGATCAGATGGCAATAGATGTGAAGTAGTTGTACTGGATAATGATCTAAATTTATTAAAGTTAAGTATAATGTGTATTTTAACTGAATCAACCAGTTCAGCAAACAAAAAAGTCATCCTGAGGGTGGATATGGACAGAAGCGGATCCATGAGAGGTTGGCGGTTTATAAAAAAAAGTGAAAAGTAGTATTATTTTTTAGGAGAGAGATCTATAGTGTTCTACCTGTTTTCAATATTTATCGAAGTATCTATTTTCGAGGGGGTGGCGGTCGCCGGTTCGCCTAATACCTAGATCCATCACTGGGTGTGGGTATTCTCTATACTCTAACCCACACCCTACTATATAATATTAGTTTTAGCTCGAGAAGTAATTGAATAAAAGAAATATAGCATATTATAAAATGAACGTTTTCGATAGTTATCTACGAATGTAATACAACACTTGTTATGATCCTATTGACTCATGATTCCTATATTATGTGATAAATGCTGTAATAAAACAATACTAATCGATTTTATAATCATCAGATTACATGATTATGTTTAACTAAGTCAGTAGTGTCAAACTTGAAACATGAATTCGAGCATTCAAACACTCATCGATCGCGACGCTGATATAAAAGATGTACCTTTCCGCGGGGTAACAAATCTTCGCTTGTATCGATAAATAGTTGAATTCAAGTTTCGAGTATTACATATATGAATTTCATCGATTGAAAGCAAACTGCCTTGATAACTTCTGACACGTTTCTTATTATAGAACTGTCAACTTAACACATATCGGTAATTTTAAAAAAATTATATCTTTAGAATAAAGACTATGATTTTATTTTTTGTATTCAAAACAAAAAAGAAAAACAATTAATTTTACTATACCTGATTATAGTAATATTCGTATTATTTGTTTCGCTAATAGTTAAATCAACATTAGATTTTTTATTCTGTTTTCTTGTACATCGTAAACCTAATGCAAATTCTTTTTCAACTAAATCATAAAATATTTGTAAATCACTACGATTATATTCGTTTTCCAATATATTTCGAATAATTTCAATAGAATTATCTGTTTTTCTTGAGAGTTCATGTTGATAAAAAATTTTTGGAAATTGTTTTACTCCATTTTGTCTTACATATAATTGATTATGTTCATAAAAATAATAAGTACAAGCAAGAAAAAAATTGAATAATACAAGTGTTAAAAAACAACGTTTGTTATTTGAACATACATTATAATTATTATCACAATCAAATGCCATTAAATAAAAGAATTTGTTCAAAACACGCCGCTAAATTTCATTGAAATATCTAAAAAAAAAAAGACTGGTTAAATTTTTCTATTGTTTGAAGAAATACATCTTTACGTTATGTAAATGAAAGAAAAAATTGATAGGTTAATCATGTCCTTATTGTTTAAACAACTAACAATCAATACGTTGAGAACAAACAAATATATATGAATATAGAAAGGCGTTTAGCAAATATGAACGATTTGAACAAGAAGAGGAAATACGAAAATTTTACTTATGTATAAAAAGGATAAAGATAAAAGTCAATCAATTATAATTATCTCAAGAATGATGAGAAGTTATAGTTTTCTTATTACTATTAAACTTCATAGATACTATAGCATGATATATCTCTTGACATAAAGAATGCTGATTCTCTTTTACTTTCTCACCTACTGCTGATATCGTTGTGTATTTAAGGAGTAAATACTGTGAAGAGAAGAATGGTTCTTATTTTATGAAGGACGAAGAATAAAGAATAAAAAGGCGCGATAACAATAAACACATGTAGTTAAGCAATTTCACTATTTTATACTAAAATTAATTGATCTATATAAATTCTGTCTAGTATTTCTTGGAATATATCTGCAAATATTTGTCTTGTCTAAACAGATACTATTTTTTCTCTTTCCTTCTTTTAATTATTTTAAAAATTGTTTATGTCCGAAAGAAATTTAATTTTTCATAAAAAGACAGTACATGCTTGTATTTATTCCCATTGATTCATACTTTATGTAAGCGAAACAAGGGTGACTTTCTCTATATTTATATTAGAAAATAATGTTTTAAAGTAGTAGTACCGCAACAGAAACATATTTTTTTCTTCAAAATAAAGCAGTCGTTTAAATAAACTATATAGCTAGTAAATAATCAGAATACTTGAGAAATCTTTCATCTTGATATGTCTCTGCACTTCTGTTTTATTTGCATATTGTAGCGCTATGATTTATAGAACTTTGATATTGTTTAGTATTATTTTTGTTACTTATATTTATTTATTGCTTTTGTTTAGATTAATTAATTGTAAACTAGTATGTCAAAGTAAATATAGGTACTAAACAATTAATTTACGTTTTATCTTTACAAAATACTTATATAATAAGAAAAAATATTCTAAAGATTACGTTATCAAGGGAAGTAGTTATAAACGATTTCGTCTGATCAGTGATCAGAACAAACAAATTTAGAAAAATTAAATATTCTCTTTTTTAATTTACTTCATTACGGTTGATCGAATGACATCTTATTGTACTGTTATTATATCCGATATCTCTTCATCGAAAAATTTCTTATTTCAAAAAGAATCATTAATATGAAAAAAATAGTTAACAAGACATTAATTAGTACTCAATATATTTAAATTCTGTTGTAGATTCAATAACTACTCATATTATAAATTCCAGACAATTCCTAACGCTTGCTTGAAAAAGTGGTATTTGTACATATCTAGTTAGCTAGTTATACGATAAAATATTTACAAATTATAAATAAAAATGATCACGACCTTTTTCTTTGTTGATATCGAATAAAATTTCGTCTCTGTTGAGAATAAGCTTTTGTAAGATAATGTGAACTAGGCATGCACCAGTTCTATAAAGTAGATGGCAAAAATGAATAATTCTTGGTATATAAAACACTCAGTCGTCACCAGTCCTTCAAGTCATTTAAATTTACTATCGATCAGACTATACAACACTGTTGTTAAACTTTGAAAAATAAGACGGAAAGAAAAAAGGACTGGGGGTGACTAGTAAAAAAACTGAAAATTTCCGATTTCTTAACAGTCACTCCCAGTCCTTTTTCTTCCCGTCTAATTCTTCAAAGTTTAACAATACTGTTGTATAGTCTAATCAATAGTAAATTTAAATGACTTGAAGGACTGGGTGTTTTCCGCAGCAAAAATTATTCATGTTTGTCATCTATCTTATAGAACTGATGAATACCTAATGTAAACTAAATAATGACAACATATGTGTTAAAAATTTTGTCGTTAGTTTGTCAAATGTAAAACTGACTAATATCATGTATATGTATTCATTCGTAAATCATCTGTGGCCCGACTTACATTAAATTCAAGGAGAGTCAAGTAAGCATCAATCATAAGCAGCAGCTGACTGAATAGTCAATGTCGTATTTTATTCTTTGATTGAGATCTTTACATCTCATTTCAATGTCAGTAAAATATACCCATGAATTCTATCGCTATTTAAATCTTAATTTAAGAAGCTACACTAATGAAGTCTACATCTTTCTGAAACAATGTAGATATTAATTAAAAACTTCTACAAAAATTCAAAGATGATAATAACCGAAGATTAAAACTAATTTTGCCTAAATCTGACAGATATACATATACAATTAAATGAGAAGAAGATAACCGAATAACTCGAGAAATCGACTATTAATTTTTAGAAGCTATAAAACGTCTAAATATTTGTATGCATGTCTAAGATAATATTTTTGAGCAGTATTTATTAATCTGACTCGTACGGAAAAAGCTTACTATTCTCTTTTATAAAATAAGAAAAATAAATTTCTTAAGTGATCATAACTTTTGAAACTTCCTGTAATTGTTTGATGTCTTTTATTATCTACATCCTGAATAACACAGATGTAAATAATATTTTTCAAATAGAGACATGTCATTGTAGCTCAAGCAGAAATTAAAATAATATAGAGATTAATAAGAAGCATTGGTAATATCTATGTCGATAATTTCAACCGATTTAATTATATATGGAAAGATATAAGTAGTCTATCATTTGATACATATAACCTTCTGTAAGAGAAAATATTCCTCTACAAAGTGAACTAAGATTCTTATGGACTGAGCCTATCATCTACTGCAAAAATAGCTGACAATATTTTTAAGTATATATCCATCTAGGTAAGTATAGTAATACAAATACAGTCATTTCAAAAATAAATCTAGAAGACTAATCACTATATTATTCAAAGAATTATTATATGTTTAGTTATGATTAATCCGAGTATAAAAACTATGTATTTACTGTATTCGTTTCTTTAAAATTTCAATAAATTATTCTTTTGTTTAGCAAAATAGAAAAAGTAGTTCATTTTCATCGTGAATAAAATTCTTTCTTACCATTTATACATATTGAAGACTGAAGTAGACATTTTATTGCTCATCTAAAACAGAGAAATGTTACTTGTTTTGATACAAAAATAATTCGATAAAAAATACTCACAACATAAAATTTAAGTTTTTTCTTATAATATTTTATTAAACGAGAATTGCTTATCATAAAAATCTAATTTTTAACTACTTTGACAAATATTTTTTATCAAATGAAGAAAAAATACATCGTTTATAAGATTTACTATTAAGAACTGAGTACAAACGAGTTATTTAATCGACTGTAGTCATAGAAATCTTTCTACGTTAATGCGTTGAATTACGTCGAGTGGACTGAGTATAGATGAATTCTTCTAAAAACTATCTTTTTAGTTTTCTATGTAAACGATGGAATAAAATATTTTATCTCATCATCCTACCAGCCAGGAAAAAGACGATCCGTTCTTTTTTCTTTTCTGTTCTGTGATGAGAAAAGTCACTTTTACCAAGTTACCGGCTAAAGCTATAAGAGTAGACGTCTAATTCTTTTCTTTCAACTATAAAATGGAGTTTTTTTTTATGAATTAACTATCTATCATAGTTAGGTTTATAACAATTAATTCAAATTTGGAAAAGCAAAAGAATATAGTAGAAGAAGTCGTATATTTTGAAAATAATGTGTTTTTGTCTGTTTTTATATAAGACAATTTTGAACACATTGATAAGATGAATATGCATATAATTATTTACCTATTTGCTCGGATACTACACTGACTTGTTTGTAAGTAAATCGAAATAATTCTAATAAAGTAATAAATGTTAAGTTGAAAGCGCTTTTTTAAGGAAATAAGTGTAATTTCTGTTAATCCTTCATGCTGTAATAGGTTGCACTGATGCTAACATAAGATGATTTGCAACAAAATATCTTCAAAAGGTGTTCATTGATTTTTCATGAAATACTATTAACCGTGCGTTTTTTTTATTCGGTTCTTTTAAAACAATATTAAAGAAATGTCTTTGTATTTCTTATATTTGTTTTATCAAGTCTCGAAGTATTATAAGCAAATGACTTGAGAATGACGACGACTACTCGAAATTCGAATTTTTCTTTCATCTGGGGGTAATGTAGTAGTTGCATTTATTTCATATCGACGGTGAAGAATCGTAAATTTTCGTTGCGACGACGACGACAACGATTCAGCTGATCGATTTATACTTCTAATCATGTAAAAGTTCATAAATTACTTACCTCTTGTTGGATTAAACCATTTTAAATAGCAATAAATCTAATTATTTTCAATTTTTGATATGTGAAAACAGTTCTTGTTGAACGCAATCGACAATCGAATGAAGACTTCTATCATTATGTTTGATAAATGTTAAGTTTACATCATTTGATTATGATATAATATCATTGACAAGAAAAACAAGTGCCTGTCAAAAAAACTTTCTCCTCCCTGTTGAGGTAAATAATGTCCTCGACGATAACAAATAGAATTATATTAATTAAGTTGTTTCAATATTCATAAAAAATATTATACCTCCTAAATCAATATTTATTGCACAGTTTGATATATAAAATTGAGTAGAATATTTCGGTTATTACTAATTGCATAGAAAATTATACTACAATCATGATTTAATAGGTGTACTATTTTTTATGAATATTGAAATACCTTAACTAACGATTCGATTTGTTTTCATCAAGGACATTGTTTACTTCAATAGGGAAGAGAAAGTTCTTTTTTCATGTCAATGATATTATAATGTAATAAATAAAAATGACTGTCTGTATAATGTAAACTTAACATTTGTCAAACATAATAGTAGAAGTCTTTATTCCATTATCGATTGCATTATAATATCATTATCACGAAAAACAAGTGTCTGAAAAGAAACTTTCTCTTCTCTATTGAAGTAAATAATGTCACTGACGAAAGAAAAAATAGAATTGTTGAGTAAAATATTCCGATTGTTAGTGAATGCGTAGAAAATTATACAACAATCTAGACATCCTTGATTTTATATTCTTTTATTGATATATAGACTACTGGTGCTAAAGATCAACAAGCAATAAAAGTGATCGTAAATATAAAATATCAGTTACGACAATGTTTTATATCAATAAAGAAAAAGAAAGTAAAAGAGAACAACAATAAACGCTAATAAATTGAAGAATATACAACAGAAAAACAGATGTATATATACTTTATGAAATCTTATTGATGATAAATTAATATTTATCTTAAATTTATGAGTAATATGATCTGATCTGATCGTAGTTATTAAATGTCTTCATAAAGGCCATCGATGAAGAAAATCAATCGTATCATAAAACCCATATTTCTTACTTGTGAAGAGCAATTGAATAAAAAATTTCATAAATATACTATAAAATAAATATTTATTTTGTTATATTGATTTAAATTTAAGATCTTGTTTAATCTATGAATATTATAAGTGAAACCATCAACATGCAATATTTAATAACATTTTTTACGGACTCCTTTCGAAATTAAATTCCTATGTTGCTTGTTTAAGAGTCTTACATGTAGACTATATTTCTTTGATAATACTTTTTGATTTGAAGAAATCGAATACATAAAGCATCATCTATAAATATATTGGTATTATTATAGACATATTATCATTGCACGATTATAGTTCGGCAATCTACGTTATCTTGATCAACGTTAATCCTATAGCGCTTTTTGAGGATCCGTCCGGACCAACATAATTTTATCTTTCACTTTATTTTACGTTAACAGGTATACTTTTCCGACCGATTGTTAGAGATTAACGACTGGAAAAAGAAATTCTTTTAAGCACAAATAAACAGACAAAGTTGAAACTATGTGATCCATTGGAATTCCAGAACAGCACTATAGGGTTAATACCCCGGCAAATAAGAAGACTTTTCTGGATCATTTGAATATTGTCATAAAGACGAATGTTGGCTGAGCGTTTGTTTTTAATGCTGACATAACGTTCTAGTTGCCTATTATTCATAGGGCAGGATTTTCTAATATTGATTGTCCTTTTTCTGTTTTGATAGTAGTTAATCAGTAAAAACTTTGTTCAATTACCATCACCTGATTTTTATTTTCTTCAGTTTTATGATATATACATTACAAAAATGAGATGTATTATAGGAATATTCGTTATTAAAATATTGATTACTAGCGCCACCTATCGTTTTGTTTTGGCGTTAAAAGAAACTTTTCATATCTAAATAAACTTGATTATAAAATGAAAAGAACGAATTGATTTATTTTTATCTTTAATTTATTAATAGATTTCAGTAGGAACGTTTTGATTAGTTTAATAATCAACTAATCAAAACAAAATAGATATTACATTCACTCAAGCATCGATCACACGTGAAATTCTATTATCTAATTATTTTCAAATATGGAATTCTTAGATACATTTCGTCATTCTTGGCAACAACAAATCACTAAAGATAAATCTAGTCAATTAAATGTAAATAATGATACTCCAATTGGTGATCTTTGTCGTCTAGGTACGAATTATAAAAATTCAATAGAATGTCAAACATCAATTCCTCCGACATCTCAACCAATTCTTCCATCACATTCAACAACAAATGCATTGTCGTTTACAATTGGTATTCGAACATTTACTGCTTCAAATTCTACATCGATTAAATCTTCATCAAATGAATCACTACAACCTCCACCATCTAAAAAATTAAAAACATCAAATTTAACTTTACTCGATGAATTAATACGTGATATAGATGAGTCAACTGATGTTCCATTCTTTAATATATCATTACCACGTGAACTAGCATTACAAATATTTGAGAATTTATCTATTAATGATTTATATTCATGTTCGCAAGTATGTAAATCATGGTATTCGTTATCATGTGATGAATTGTTATGGTATAATTTATATAAACATTTAAAACTTGAATATTCACATAAAATATCTGATAATACTTGGAAGAATCATGTAAAAGAAGCTATCTTATCAAATCAAAAATTAATACAAAATTTTAAAAATCATCAGTGTCGTACAACAAAATTAACACATCGACTTGGCATTGTTTTAACATGTGCAAATAATAATCAAACAACAATTGTTGCTGGTTATTCAACAGGTATTATTCGTACATGGCCTATTGAAGCTATTTTAAATGCTAACGATACTAATGATGATGATGATAATGAACAATTAAATATACCTGATATTATTTATGAATCAACAGATACAAATGTACATACAGATATTTCAAGTGTTAAATCAGTTGGACTTTTAAAAAATGATATTTATGCTTTACATGACGATGGTCTATTAGAAATTTGGACAAAAGGTATTGGTAAACAACCACGTTTTACTCAACAGTTAACATCTCTGCCACTTGAACATATTTCTAATGATGAAACTATATTATGTGCTGCAAGTCGATCTAAATTTTATGCATGGAATTTTAATGAGGTGAGAACAATTATTATAGATTGAGATTCACACTGTAACGTATGATATCATATTTACTAGAGATATAGGATTACCTTCAAAATCTCGAAATTGGAAAAAGCTAGAAAATAATCACAAAGCATGTTGAGAATGGGTGTGGGTGTGGTTACCGTAGATATGATACACCCACACCCTTTTTTCTTTATTCTTGTTTTCGAGGTTTTTTTCTTTGATATTTTGCTATCATTCCGAGTAGAATGCGGCTTCGGGATTTTTTTGTGGTTCTTCGGGATTGAGTATTTCCAAAATCGAGACTTCAGCTTAATTCTTGGGTTCTTCTGAAGATGTATGATGAATAGGGAATAAAATTCTCTATCAGGCTGTTGTATTTTCGGATCTCACTCAACATGTATTGCAGGACAAATACCAACGGGATTTCTTCTTCATATATTTTGAATGAGATGTGGAAGTACAATAGTTTGATAGCGAATTTTATTCTCTATTCATCGTACATATTCAAAAGAACTCAAGAATTAAGCTGAAGTCTCTATTTTGAACATACTCAATACCGAAACCGCACCCTAATTCCAAGATATAGATAAACTCTCAATATAAACGTATGCTACTATTGTCTTGATAGCCGACCTATCAATTAACATATAATATATTTTTTGATTTAGCCTGAATCAACTCCTGTATTTCAAGAACTGAATTTTATAGGTGATATAAATGATCGTATTTTATCATTTTCTATGTCTAGTCATCATTCCGTACCAATATCGATTGTTGCTGGTAATAAATCACTTTGGTGTATATCATTATTAAATTTAACAAATCGTCTCTCATTTTATTCCACACTTGAAACACAATATATACAAAAAATGCCATTAGATATTCATAATGATGAACCATTAGCAATTATTGGACTTGATAATGAAATAAAATTATTTGATTTACAAAGTGGTCGTTGTAATATTGTATCAACAAATTATAAATATCTTCCTGCAGGTGTTCATTTAATTCGAGCTGATAAATGTCCAATAAATGAATTTATTGTTGCATATGATAATTCTCAAATAAGTATATTTGATCGAAGACAAAAAGATGGTGGTGTACAACATTTTTATAATCATTATTCTACAATAACAACATTACAAATGGATACATGGAAATTAGCAAGTACAGATATACGTGGTTTTGTTCGACTTTGGTAAGAAGAAAAAAATTTTTGTTTACATATTTTTATTTTATAAATCATTAGGGATCGCCGAATGCATCCACATTCATTATGGCATATGAATCCACAATCACATCCTGTTACACATTGTTCATTTGATAAACAAACACTTATTTGTGCATTAACACCCCATTGTAAACGACCCGATATGGTAAATAGTATAGCATAAAATTATTTCTATTTATTTATGTGTGTTTTTAGATTGATTATCAAATTAATTCTGATCTTTTATCAGGACATATTTATGTATGTAATTTTAATTCAGATATGTCAACACAACTTGATAATGATTTAAAAATCTGTACATCATCATATGATGCACCGCAAGCATCAAATAGAAGGATTGGTTTACATACTCCATATGATATAATTCAATAAAGAATTCTTTTTTCTTTTGCGTTCTTCTGCAAACAATTGTTGTGTTGTTTTTATGATTCAACAGTAATATCATTTTTGAAAAGAAAGAATAATATTAAATTCTTTATTAGTTTTTGTAATATAACATTTTAGATATTATTTTTTATGTAAATTTGTAAAGAAAAAAGTCAAACTTTTAAATTTTAGATTTTGAAATGTTTTATGTCAATTAATAAATTATTTAATGGATAATTTGTACAGTTATGATTATCAATTTCGTATGATTGTTGTTGGAGATTCTACTGTTGGAAAGGTAATATATATATTCAAATGAATTTTTAATATTTGTATTTTTTTTAGTCATCATTATTACGAACATTTTGTGATGGCAGTTTTTCTCCAGATCCAGTGAGTGAATTCTTTGAAATGAATACATATATATAGGGGGATGAATAATTCTAATAGGATCCAACAGTTGGTGTGGATTTTAATGTGAGAATAGTTGAAGTAAAACCAGGTGTTAAAGTCAAATTACAATTATGGGATACAGCCGGTCAAGAACGATTTAGGTAATTTTCTCCGTCTATCTTTTTTTTGTACTATTTGAAAAACAATAAGTCACTTAGGGATCTTGAAATTTGAGATAATTTCCCCATAAATATACTTTATATGACTCGGGTCAGTGAACGATGAGCACATGAGTGTTTATGTCCATAATATCGACGAAAACAAAGAAAGTCAAGGCAAATATAAATCGACATGGATACAAGAATCTATCAATGTCATCTTTTCCGGGCCAGCGCCCTCACCCACACTCAGATGCTTGTGTGCTTAAGTATTCTCGTACTCATCGTTCCAATTCCCATATGTTTCGCATGAACAACGAATCTCTCGATATTTAATATTTTACACAATGTTTAATCAAAGTTTCCTTCAATAAATGAAGGATAAGACTGATCAAGTTTTACCTTTCTGAAAGATTTGTTAAATAGTTTTTTTTGGGGAGTGCGATGATTCTAATTAATAACTACTGAATTTTCATTTTGTAGAAGTATTACACGTGCTTATTATCGTAATTCAGTTGGTGTTCTTCTTATATATGATACAACAAATTATGTTAGTTTTACACATGTAACTAATTGGTTAAACGATGCTCGTCAACAAATTGAACCATATCATTGTGTATTTCTTCTTGTTGGTACGAAAATTGATCGAGAATCCGAACGACAAGTAAATATTTAATTGCAAAAGAGAAAACGAAAAATTTTCATTTTTGTTTATGTAATTCTAGGTAACAACAGAAGAAGGTAAAGCATTTGCTGATTTTCATAATATCTCATTTATTGAAACATCATCAAAATCAACATTATATGTTCAAGAAGCATTTGCATTAATAGCTCGTGAAATTTATGATCTATTAACTGAAGGACATATTCATGTTCAAAAAGGGTATGTTTAGTTTAATTTTTTTAATAATTCATATTTATTTATATTCTGAAGGTGGGATGGAGTTAAAACTGGTCCCAATACAGCAAGTTCAAATCAGAATCAATCAGTTAATATTACACAAAACGATCAACCTAAACGAAATACTTGTTGTGGTAGTTAGTAGTTAATGGATCTTTTTCGTTTGTTTTACTTTCTAACAGTGTATGGAAGAAAAGATTTTACTTTTTTGAATTTCATCAACCAATCCTCTTCGTTCTTCTCAACAAAACATTATATATACATATTTATTTGTGTCAAGTTTTCCTTGTTTTATAATTACCTTTTTCATTTTTTTTGTTTTCGAGAGGTAAATTCTTATAATCCTTTTTAATATACATCTTCTCATAAATAAAATAATGACATTTATTAATTATATTCAAAAGATTTATTTCTATTTTCTTTTCAGAATGATTAAAAAGTATGACTTCAGAATTTCAATAGGTATGATATTTTAGTATTGCATAAATAATATTGTAATAAGCAAATCAATGGTAAGTATGATTATAGACACAAATAAATGTGGAAACTTCGGATTTTATCCGAGAGTTATGTGTACTGCAAAAAGTGTGTATGAAAATCATAGGAAAATTTCAGTATTTTTTCAATAACTCGGAAATGACCCGATCAATTAGGCTCATCTTCGAACTCGACCGAGATCTTGATGAGATGGAATTGTGTAGAAAGTTTCATCAAAATCTACCTCTTCTTTTGAAAGTTATCGTGTATACGGACGGACGGACACGCTGGCCGATTCTAGTAGTGTACTCACTTTTTGAGTCCACGAAAAAAGAATAGAATACTAACTTTCGACATCGAGTGATGATATACATATTGTTATTAGTACAATATAGTCGATGGCGTCAGTAAAGAGAAGGTGAATGCGGAAATTGATATATTGACAGGTTACGATAGAATTTAGATTGTGATGAATTTTCGTAAACTGAAATATATGAGTGGTTTTTGTATAGCTTGATAAATCTATTAGCATTTGACAGAAAATAATATTATCATATATGATTTTATCGACATTTATGGATTCTAATATTACTTCTAGTAACCTTTTTTAATCTTATCTATTCTTTATTTACTACTCCTATTTTAATATCACGTACAAAAATACTACACATCTGAATATTTTTTGAATCGTAATCATTAATAAACTATATTTTTGAAGTAAATTAGCTAACAGTAGTCTGCGTTTGTTCAGCATTCGTGAGTCTCAGTATTTATGTTTTTTAAATCTGATTAAGTTTGTTCGTAGTTAATCGATCTAACTGATTTCTGTTTAATTTTTAGAATTTAGCAGCCGACTAAGAACAAATAGATCCCACTCAGATATTTTCTCTTATTGATGGATATCATCAGTCAACAGTATTATCTATTGCTGTTGAAATTAGATTATTTGATTATCTCGCTAATCAAACATTATCATCAAAGTCCAGTGACATATAATATTTATCATGAAGTCTCCTTTTTTGAAACCTTTAGTCAGTTAAACTGTTTCGATTTCGAAAGAATACTCTGGGATTCTTATATTATATTTTACGGGTATTCCATGGATTAAAATTACATCTTTCGTGATACATTTTTATTTACTAAGAAAAATATTTCATAATATATACGAAATATTGCATCATCATCATCATCTTATCGTTGTATATTGTATTTAAAAGGGAATATGTTCTGCGATCAGTAAAATAATTGAAATATCAGTAAATATATTAATTAGTCAGTTTTCAAAAAAATCAGTACACAATTCAAAAGTAGTCAGTAGATTTTGTGGAAGTAGCAGTGAAAAAATATGATTTTTGTCAGTAAAAAAAAGAAAAGTAGACCACCTTTGCACAAATTTATATGTTTTTACTTTCCATCCCATTTTATTTACTGATCGTTTAAATTTTATTATGAACCTATCAAATTAATTACTGACCATTCAATAATTCTATTGATTTTTGAATTTTTTATTTTACTGATCGTTTTATTTATTCTAGTAACCACTTAAATGACACTCTATTTAAAAGTTAATTTTAAATAAATTCTTTCTAGATTACTAGTCAGATAATCTCAATTGAAAAAAGTTAAAATGGTCAAAACACAATATCGAAGTGTTAAGACTGGAAAAGTCATGTAAGAAATCAAAAATTCAAATTACAAAAATATAGAAATTATATTTTTTTAGAAATCAAATTCAATTTGCTCCTTTCTCTTCACTTGAAATGCAAAAACAAGCACATATTCATGTTGTTAGTAAAAATTTATATTCTCAAGATGCTGCACGAACAGCAGCGCCATTTGGTGTACTTGATCCTAAATTAGTAATGAAAATTTGCTTATTTTTCATTTTTCTAAAAAATTTATTTTACATTTCTAGGGTGTTTGTGGTGGTAAACGATTATGTGAAACTTGTCATCAAGATGTTACAAAATGTCTTGGTCATTATGGTTATATTGATCTTCAATTACCTGTATTCCATATTGGATTTTTCCGTTCGATAACTGTTGTTCTTCAAACAATTTGTAAAGTATGTCAAAGATATGCTTTGTTTTATTTATATAATTTAATAAATCTAGAAATGTTCACGTGTTATGTTGAACAAAGAAGTTAAACAAACATTTCAACGGCAACTATGTCGACCTATTTTAACTTACCTTCAGAAAAAAGCTCTTAGAAAACGTATTCATGAAAAAGCTAAAAAAACAACATTATGCCCATATTGCGGAGAATTAAATGGTATTTCTGAACTAATTTCAATGATATAAATAAAATTTTGTTTTTTTATTCAATAGGCGCTGTTCTTAAATGTGCGTTATTAAAAATTGCACATGATAAATATCGTACACAAAAACGACAACAAAATGCGTTGACCGATATTAATCAAATATTTAATTCAGCTCGACAAGGAAATCCCGAAGTTTCAGCATTGATGAATTCATATACAGAAATTCTGAACCCTGTTCGAGTATTGGAATTATTTGAACGTATTCCAAAAGAGGTTTATATTCATCTATTTTTTGAAGAAACACATTTTCAAGAAATTTTATATTTTTATAGGACTTACCATTACTTCTTATTGATGAATCTGTCATTCACCCACGTGATTTTATTCTTTCACGAATGCTTGTACCGCCATTATGTATTCGACCAACAGTTCAATCTGATTTTCGTGCTGGCACGTAAGTTAATTTTCTATATAATCATTAATATTTTTGAATATAATCTCCAATTTTTAAAAAGAAATGAAGATGATTTAACAATAAAATTGAGTGAAATTATATTTTTAAATGATGTTATACAACGTAATCGTTTAAATGGTGTTAAAATGGATAAACTTGTTGAACAATGGGATTTTTTACAATTACAATGTGCACTTTATATAAATAGTAGTTTATCTGGTATACCAGCACATATGCAACCGAAAAAATGGATACGTTCATTTGCACAACGATTAAAAGGCAAACAAGGTCGTTTTCGTGGTAATTTATCGGGTAAACGTGTTGATTTCAGTGCTCGAACAGTCATTTCACCAGATCCAAATTTACGTATTGATGAGGTAAAATTAATTTTTATTTTATAAAAACAATATATTTTTCTTTTTCAGGTCGCAGTACCAATTCATGTTGCTAAAATAATGTCTTATCCTGAAATTGTTAATAAAACTAATATAGAATTTATTCGTCAACTTGTTCGTAATGGACCTGATATTCATCCGGGTGCAAATTTTATTCTTAATCCAAAAAATGATCATAAAAAATTTCTTAAATATGGTGATCGAAATGATATGGCTGCAAAATTACGCGTATATATATTTATACATTTTTAAATACCTTATATATTTATATTCATTCTAGTTTGGTGATATTGTTGAACGACATATGATTGATGGTGATGTTGTATTATTTAATCGACAACCATCATTACATCGTCTTTCTATAATGGCTTTATTCGCAAAAGTTATGCCACATAGAACATTTCGTTTTAATGAATGTATTTGTTCACCATTTAATGCTGATTTCGATGGAGATGAAATGAATCTTCATTTACCACAAACCGAAGAAGCCAAAGCTGAAGCACTTGTACTTATGGGAGTATGTAGAAATTTTTATATCAAAGAAATGTTTTTTAAATAAATTCTTTAGACGAAATCTAATCTTGTTACACCACGTAATGGAGAAATGATTATTGGTTCAACACAAGATTTTTTAACTGGTATGAAAAACGAATTTTGTTCTATTTGATATATTTCTGTATTATAATAGGTGCTTATTTATTAACACAACGTGATGTATTTTTTGATCGATCGAAAGTCTGTCAATTACTCGTATGGATTCTTACAAATAAGGATGGTTTAGAAAAAATCGATTTACCACCTCCAACTATACTTAAAGTAAATATTTTAGTTTGATTTTTATTACAGAGGAAGAAAATGTTTTTTTTTATAGCCATGCCAATTATGGTCTGGTAAACAATTGTTTAATCTTATTCTTCGACTTAATAATTCATCGAAAGATATTATTAATTTACGTACAAAAGGTAAAGCTTATTGTGGCAAAGGAGAAGATTTATGTGTAAATGATGGATGTAAGTTTAGAATTTTTTTATGTTATAAATAATAAATTCGTTGTATTTAGTTATTATTATACGTAATAGTCGTCTTCTTCTTGGTTGTGTTGATAAAAGTGTATTAGGTGCAAATGGAAAAACAAATGTATTCTATATGCTTTTACGTGATTGTTCGGAAGAAGCAGCTGCTTTAGCTATGGCACGTTTAGCTCGTTTAACAAGTTATTATTTGAGTAAGAAGTTAAAATATCTTTAAAAGAGAGAATATATTCTTGTTCTTTTATTAGTGAATCGTGGTTTTTCAATTGGTTTGATCGATGTAACTCCCGGTGAAAAGTTAATGAAAGAAAAACGTTTATTAGTTAGTGAAGGTTATGATAAATGTAATACTTATATTCGACAATTACAAGAAGGTAAACTTCAATTACAACCTGGTTGTTCACCCGAACAAACACTTGAAGTAAAATTTATTTATTTATTAATCGTTCATAAGAATAAAGATTTCAATTTTCATTAAAGGCATTGATTTTAAAAGAACTTTCTGATGTTCGTGAATCAGCTGGTAAATTATGTTTACAAGAATTACAACGTTCAAGTAATAGTCCGTTGATTATGGCTATTTCGGGATCGAAAGGTAAACTTTTATTCAGTACAAGTATGTGAAATGAATTTTTCGTATTTAGGATCAAATATTAATATTTCTCAAATGGTTGCTTGTGTTGGTCAACAAGCTATAAGTGGTTCACGTGTACCCAATGGATTTGAAGATCGATCGTTACCACATTTTGAAAAACATTGTATGATTCTATTTTAATTCCTTTTTATTAATAATATTGATATTTTAGCAAAAATTCCTGCTGCAAAGGGTTTCGTTGAAAATAGTTTTTATTCGGGTTTAACACCGACGGAATTTTTCTTTCATACAATGGGTGGTCGTGAAGGTAAATCAATGATAATTAAAAAAATTATTTCGAAATCGATTTCTATTTAGGTCTTGTTGATACTGCTGTAAAAACAGCTGAAACAGGTTATATGCAACGACGTCTTGTTAAATGTCTTGAAGATTTATGTTGTCAATATGATATGACAATACGAACAAGTACAGATGATATTGTTCAATTTACATATGGTGGTGATTCATTAGATCCAATATTTCTTGAAGGTAAAGATAAACCGGTTGATTATGATCGAATCTATCAACATGTTCGAGCAAAATATCGTTATGATGATGAATTACCTTTAAATGGAACTGATATGAATAATTTTGTTTGTCAAGAACTTATTAAAGCTGAATATTCAATTATGGAACAAGAATATAAACTGCAACTTATTGATTTTATTAATACGATGGCAGTAGCAGTTGATCGTTATCGAAAAAAATATCATATTGATAATGAAAGTATTAAAGAACGAGAAGAAGAAGATGAACAAGAATTAAAATCAACAGAAACTAATAAACGTCTATCAACAATACCAAATCGTTCAAATAAAAAACAACGTTCAATACCCAATGTTCTTTATGAAATTGAACGATGTACACAATCACAATTACTTGAATTTCTACAATTATGTAAATATAAATATGGTCGAGCAATACTTGAACCTGGTACAGCTGTTGGAGCACTTTGTGCACAAAGTATTGGAGAACCAGCAACACAGATGACATTAAAAAGTTTGTATAAAATTCATAGTTTTATTTTTGTTATACAATTACATTGTTTTTTTTATTTAGCTTTTCATTTCGCTGGTGTTGCTTCTATGAATATCACTCTTGGTGTTCCACGTATCAAAGAAATTATTAATGCTGTTAAAAAACCATCAACACCATTAATCACAGCTTCATTAGATAATGAATATGATCAAGATTTTGCACGTAAAGTTAAAGGTCGAATTGAAAAAACATATCTTGGTCAAGTATCACAATATATTGAAGAAGTTTATGAAAGTGATAGTTGTTATATATTAATTAAACTTGATCTTGAACGTATACGTTTATTGAAACTTGAAATAAATGCAATGTCAATTATTGATTCAATAGTACAAGATAAAAAAATGAAAAAAGTTAAATATAATCAATTAACATTAGCTGACACAGATACAATTTATTTACATGCATCAGATACATTAAAAGGAAATATATATTATACAATAAAACGTTATAAAGAAATTTTACCCAATATTGTTGTTAAAGGTATATCAACAGTTGATCGTGCTGTTATAACAGTTGATGAAAAAGAAGGTAAACAACATAAATTATTTGTTGAAGGTGAAGGTATGAGAGATGTTATGGGTATACAAGGCGTAAATTCGAATTTAACAACATCAAATAATACAATGGAAGTATATCGTTGTTTGGGTATTGAAGCAGCACGAACAACAATAATTAATGAAATTGTTTATACAATGGCATCACATGGTATTGGACTTGATGTTCGACATGTCATGCTTTTAGCAGATTTAATGACATATAAAGTAAAGTTTTGTTTCTCTCTCTATTATTTAGATTACTTACTAGTAAAAAATGATTAAGTATCTAATAGTAACAAAACAAATTGGATTTTTTTATAAGGTATCAATCATAAACGAGGAGAATTTAATATATGTTAAAGGGGGTGATCGAAAAATCACTATTTTTTTCTCACGCTAGAAATGCCTTAATACGAAAGTTCGTGTCACCTATAACACGAATCAGACATCCGTTTGCCTAAATCTGATCCTTTTTTTTCAGCGATTTCCATGGGATGTCAAGCACAAAATACACGAAGTATTCACAAAAATTTTCTTTTCCCTCAAACTTTCTAGAGCTTTTTTCGCTGATCATTTTCGTATAAGGAAGTTTTGAACTGTATCGAGCAATAACGACGCTATCGTCAAAATAAAAAACATAGTAAAGCAGCTTAAAATTTCATTTCGCCTTATGAAATATAAGAAAAAGTCCAATCTCTAATTCCGAACCGACTATATTCCAAAGAAATATGACATAGTAGGTTTTGTAGAGAAAATTGTGCTCTATAACACCCACTATGTTATATTTCTTTGGAGTATAGTCGCTTTGAGAAAATTTTTCTAAATACTTCGTGTATTTTATGCTTGACAACCGATGGAACTATCGTACTGAGACCTAGATGCCCCCCTTACGAGAAAAACTGACAAAAAAGGGATCAGATCTAGACAAACGGATGTCAGATTCGTGTTCTAGGTGACAAGGACTTTCGTTTTATGACATTTCTAGCGTGAGGAAAAAATAGTGATTTTTCGATCACCTTCTTTTAAGTTGAGTAACGTTCTTGAAGTGTTATTATATTTATAAGAAGACTTGACAATTCTACAGGTAAAAAGGATTTCATAGTTAAATAAATATGTAGTAGTTTTTTAATTCAAAATATATGTCTGTTTTTGTTTATTTTAGGGTGAAGTTCTTGGTATGACAAGAAATGGTTTAGCTAAAATGAAAGAAAGTGTTTTAATGCTTGCTTCATTTGAACGTACTATTGATCATTTATATGATGCTGCATATCATGGACAAAAAGATACTATATGTGGAGTATCCGAATGTATAATTATGGGTATACCAATACGTATTGGTACTGGAATATTTCAATTATTATATAAGTAAAAAAAGATTGAATAGAGAAAAAAATTGAATTCTATAAATTATTTTTATTTTAGGCATCCAAATCGTGGTAGTTTGAAACAACGTGAATTATTATTTGATAATCTTGATATGCATCAACCGCTAGTTGTTTCTTGAGAGTGTTATTACTTATTTTTTTTTTGTTTTTTTTGTTTTTTTCTTGTGATATATTTTCTACTAGTAGAGAAAAATAAATCTGATGCGATGATTGTTATTCTAGATGAGTGTTATTGGACATACACGAGCTCCACCACCAATACCAGCAGTAGGTTTTATTTTCAAATAATTTATCCTGTTCATATTTTAATTTTGTATAGAAACCTGGTTATGTTACAATGGTTAAAGCTTTGTACAGTTATGCAGGTAATATAATGATTGATTTATAGGAAAAATATTTTTCATAGTTTTTTTTTATTTTTAGCACGTTCTCCAGAAGAATTATCATTTGAAGAAGGTGAAATACTTTATGTAACAGATGATGTTAAATATAAAGATTGGTATTTGGCTACGACAAATAAAAATCGTACAGGTGGTCTTATTCCAAAAAATTATGGTAAAAATTAGTTTCTATTTTATTTGTATTATATATTATGTGCTTGTTTTTAGTTGAAGAAAGTACAGAAAAACTTGTAAATGCTTTACATGACGCAGCGAAACGTGCAAATATTGAATTTCTTCAACAATCACTTGCTAATAAAGTAAAAAAATTAATTCTTATAAATTAATATTTTTATGTGTAATATACAGGCATCAGTTCTTGGTCTTGATAAAGCAGGAAATACACCATTTCACTGGGCATGCTATTCAGGTGATATGGATTGTGTTAAATTATTATTACCACTTTCGTTATCCATCATTAATCAAAAGGTATATTTACCGACAAAAAATTCACGTTTATAAACTTATATTTTTATTAGAATAATGTTGGTGATACTCCATTACATGTAGCTAGTTGGAAAAATCATGCTGATATTGTTCAAATTCTTTTAGAAAATGGTATATAAAACAAAAATCATCTTTTTTCATGAAATTTTATTGAATAATTTTACAGGTGCTGACAAACGAATTCGTAATAAGGATAATAAAATTCCATTTGATCTTACACATGATCCACATATTCGATCATTATTAGAAGAAAAAGGTACTTATATCTTGAATATATTATTTTATACATTTTTGTTTTAGTTATTTTTTCTAATTATAAATCACGACAAACGCAACAGAATGGTGACGGCAATGACGAAGATGATGATTCAGATTAATTCTTAACTTATAAAGACAATTTTTTGTTTAGTTGGCTTTTTTTTTCTTTATGTATCTTATCTGTCTTGATTACTTTCATTCGAAATATACAATACATTCCACAGTTTTCTTATTTCATCACATTTACATTTATTAATACTTGCATAAGAATATAAAACAGGAAACAAGGTAAT